CAGTCACCAAACAGCGGTGTGCCCACACCTGCCATGTCAGAAAGGTCGACAGGTGATAGAAGTGAACCATAAACTGCTTTGGTGTGAAATCGTTCATAGTCGCTGATTTACTGGACATGTGAAGTTCAATCAGGTTGCTGCATAGTCATGTAAACTTGATAATTGTTTACTGGCGGCCCATGACTTTATTCAACATAAAGTGCCCTTCAGAGCTCTTATTCCACAGCCAAATGACTCACAAACGTTGATTCCAATGGTCTAGTTTACGTCGTTTTTAGTCATTACCAGAGATGAAGAACACCAGTTTCATCTTGTTCTTGCCAAATTAGACTCTTCACCATGAATTGTAATAAGACAATCTACCTTCTTTAGACGCAAAAGCTTGGGGCCTATCAACAGCCACCCTTAATACACATTTAGGCAACCAACTGGGTGATTTAATGAGTGTCGATGCTCCTAAAGCTGACCATGTTTTAGAAAGACGCAGGTAGTTTATCGCACAGACAGACCTACACGCCTGGTAGAATTGCCGAAGAAAGAGGAAGAAGGTAATGTGTGATGGTTGGCAAAAACGTTTGTTGTTGTTGTTGTGGTGTGTACCGGTATTCTCGTAAAAACCGCCGCAGTATAGCGATAAGTGTTTTATAGTCAGCAAATATATGGAACTGCTTGAACTGGTAGTTAGTGGTCGACAGCTGAACCGGGAAAATTCAAGTAACAAACGAGTTGTCGTCAGGTGTGCATGATGTGAAGCAAATATTAGCTAAGATAACAATTACACTTCTCCTACGATAATTATTTACTAGCAATCACACAAAATCTAAATAGTCGAGCTCCTATTTAATGTAGGATGTTGCGAAAATCTTTCTGCAGTTGCTTTTTCAAGGATATAAGTTCACAAGTGTCGATCGTAGAGGATGCAATAACCCATTATTCACCATCTAAAATCTAACACAGTCTAAGTCCTCATATTTTCATGGATCGAAGAGCCTGCTTTTATTCACAGGTTGTTTTAACTTCGCTTCTCCCTCTGAAGTCATGGTTAGAACTGATGACAGCCATCAAATTACACCGTGAGTTCGGAAGGGTGGTGCAGAGGTAGGACTTACAATTATCGATGTTTGCAACTGGGCAAAAAGCTTCTTCCTGTGCTTCAAGCATGTCGGTGACTAAGTTAGTTACCTTGTTGACGTCCGATGCACAATTCGTTCTTCACATTCCATCACGAGGAAATTTTGAGAATAGCACTGCTGATGTACAAAAGTGATGTCCCCAAAGGGACAACAAGGCACTTCTCTCAGGAGAGCCAATTAAAAAAAATCTCCCACGACATTCGTACCAGCTTCTTGTGGAATCGGTAAAACAAGCAGTAAAGCTATTTGGCGATTCAACACTCAGGGCATTTAAGAATAAAAAGGATACACTTAGATCGATCCATTTGTCAGTTGTCAGCTGAAGAACACAAAAATGAGTACAGGGCTATACTTAAAATATAAAAAGAAAATAAAAAAAATCGATTGTGAGAGCAGTATGCTCACAGTCTATTGGAGCCATTAACGAAATTTTTGTATGAACATCCTATGCAAAATCAATAACTACTGAATCGATTTAATAATTTTCAAACGAAAGCCCATTCAACTGATACCGCAACATCTGTCAACACTACAACAGTACATGTAATTTTTTGTGAATCCCTTTTTGTTACGCTAAACATCGTTTTTGGATGTAATTAAAGTGTAAAAAATATTTCAGTCGGGTAAAAAAGTGATTTTAGGCATCCAAGGAAATATGACGTGTCGATAAACCCAGAAAATCAAAGTTTAAGTTGCCCAACAATAATTTGTAGACGTATTTTAAGACAATATTAGACATGTCTATTGACTGTGAGAAAAAGTCTGAATTTATTACTTAAAAAAACCAGATAATTTCACTGAGATTTGCAAGCAAAGTGCAAACACTGATTTTGGTAATTAATTGAATTTTCTTCGATTCACGCGAAACCTAAGCATATGAACTTTTAGCTTGTCCAAGGCATAAATTGTTTTTTTTAATGTTGCATGTGATCTATTGCATCTCCCTACAACCGCCCCACACAAATGCCGGGTGCAATCCGATTGGATTTTGGAATTCTTTTGGCCACCGTCAACCTCCTAGTTCAACAAAAATGCCAAACTACAATGATAAATCTCTATGCACGAATTTTTTCTATAATCAATTCTGACACGTGCCTTCTAGAAATCTTTTAACACCCTAAATTGCATATATCGTTTTTTAAGCCTCATCAACAACTTTGTTTGTTAAAAAGGCCAGAAATTTATTGACTTATGCCATTTTGAAATTCAACACACATTTCACAAAATGGTGGAATTTATGCAGAATCTCAGTGCACAAATACGTTTCAGAAGTGCGAGACGAGAGGACCTGAAATTGTGAATCCACACCAGCAGTTCTTTTCCTTGATTTCTATTTTCACGGATTTTCTAACTGATAATTGCGCGATCGCATCAAATATGCCTGTCTTAAATGCACACTAGTGCCAAAAACGCGGCATTTAGGGATAGCTTATGTTTATCCAAGTGGCAATTCATTAGTGCGTTTGGGATTACTGTGTGTCTCCTTTTATCCTTTTGGCGGCTCCGATTTCCTTGAACAGACTCGTTTTTTAGAGCCTTTTCAACTTATAATTCCCGAGAGATGTAGTGTTAAGCAAATTGTCCGGCTTGCTGTTTGTTGGCACTTGCAAAACAGCTGTTCTTTTGAATCAGCTGTGTGCGCCCATCGTGCACACTTTTTCTTCCGCAAATCGATATGATTGGCCCATTCGAAATCGCCTCATTTGTCACTTTGCGCCGTGCGCTTGGCTTACGTAACCTCCGAACATGAATAACAAAGAGAAGGCCAAGTCTTCAGCAGCAAGCGGATCCTGCTGTGCCCAACTGATTCCCAATAAAGAGGTAGTAGGCACTCGTGAATACATCTACAATCTTCTTGGTCAAAAAGTTAGCCCTTTAAATCCACAAAAGAAATTGCCGAGAATACGAAAACCACCACCGCCTCTACCAGACGCTGTGCCCAAAGCTCCGCATCAGAGCATGGGCCCCCCCGCTTGTCCGCAGCCCAAAAAATACCAGCTTCCAGAAAAGTATCCCTTCAAGAAGAAGCACTGGCGGACACCCTTTATTGAAAAGAAATGCATGGCCAAAAAAGTTAAATTGGCGAGCATAGCTTTCGAGAAATTAAAGCTAGAGAAACCCGTTGGCAGGATAAAGGATAACTGCTGCGCTGGTGTCAAGGCACCGGTTCCAAGATTTAAACGTCTGGGAAGGGAGTTAGACGAAAACGGAATACCTCTATTTTGCAAAAAGGACACTGTTTATCGAACCAATTGGATTGAAAGAAACGCCATTGAGGCGATCACTTGCAAGCCCGGTGCCAGATTAGCCCACCCAGGACACCGCTACATGGTGGATACGCGTTATGGCGAGGCACATGCTCTCGACTCCAACAAAACCCATTCCGGACTCGAGAAGTGCTTTGTATACAAGCCAGCCTATGGGAAGGTACCTAAGTACCTTAAGTTGCGAGCTGAAGCAATCAAAAAGACCCGTGAAACTTACTCACATTACCTTAACGAGAAGGCATTGCAAAGCTCTGACTACATGCTCACGGAGAAGGAAAGGCAGGATTTGCTGAATGGTCTGAAGACGGCGTGGGACCAATACAATGCCAAGTACTTGGGTCTCTCATCGAGCAGTACCACACTGAAGAATAAGACGTATAAGCAGTACCTTGAGAAGCAACTAGGGAGTCTGGAGAAGGACATTGAACTGGTCGAAACCCACCCGTACATCTTTGTTGAAGCCGACAAGACGCCGGGTGTCGGGGGAGCAGTCACCAACGGCATTCGGGCTTGAACGCACACCTCACTCAGTACATATGCCTGTATTGTCTGTGGGTTTGTTGGACGTGTTCTTGTGACTTAAAGGCTTAACAGTATGGCATACGTATACCATGGCGACGTTTTCTAGTGTTATGTACAGGCTGCTCCAGCCACCTTATTTCTATGAGCAGAATTTTGTAAGAAATTTCAACAACCCCTAACCACCTACTTGTTGTCAGAACCTAAAACCACGTGTAGGTCAAAGAAAAAGCTAGCTTCGTTTATTTAAATGCACAAATGACGCATTGCAATTGTTTTCTAGTTAATCTATGTGACATAAACAGGTCAGGTAGAGGACGTTGTTTCCTAGAGGTATAACTCAAAGCCTTTTAATTGTAGCATGCAGGAAAAACTAACTGAAGGGCACATGGTGTGATTGGTTTGCGTAGTGCTGTTATCAAAGTTTTATTCCCAAGTGTTACGTTTGCGCGTAACCAAGAACAATCCATTTAGATAAACGGAACCAGATTCCTTATCTGGCGCTAGAACCGCCCTTCTCATGCCAATGAAAGACAAGGCCAGAGGTCGTGCTGAGATTTTCAATTGGCTCAGCCAAAGGGCGAGTGATGTGTCAGAATGTCAAAATTTATATAAATCAGGGGTGGCCTTAATCTGATAGATTAAAACATATGTGACTCATCCACTGACGTGGCGTGGTTAGGGGATTAGTGTAAACCACGACGAAATCGGCGATGAGCCATCTTGGGGAATCCTGGAGCCCCAACACCAAGTCCACTGTTTAAAATGATGCTCAAATTTTAATCGGCTCAGCCAAAGGGCGATTGATGTGTCAGAATGTCAAAATTTATATAAATCAGGGGTGGCCTTAATCTGATAGATTAAAACATATGTGACTCATCCACTGACGTGGCGTGGTTAGGGGATTAGTGTAAACCACGACGTAATCGGCGATGAGCCATCTTGGGGAATCCTGGAGCCCCAACACCAAGTCCACTGTTTTAAATGATGCCCAAATTAATTTTCTTACTAAATGAAGTTAGATGGTGTCAAAGGATCAGGGCTAATGCTTGGCACATAGGAGCAACCCAAATGGAGATTTTATGTTCATTTTTTTTGGTCAAATTAAACACTTGTTCATTCAGGAGATTGTCATGCACAAGCCAGCAATTTTTCCTCTCTTTGACAACCACGACAGACCTGGTCAAGCATTCACGGTTTTCATATTTTAAAATAAATCCACACGATTATCCAAATTGCTTTAATTAAAAAAACCTTTCCCTTGCAAACATTCTTTTAGCCACAAATAGGCTATTTTGTGATCATGCGACAGATAGCAGGCCTCTGGATACAAGTGGTATTAGCCTCGTCACATCTCGACCAAGGTACACCCCAGCAAGTTCGATTGTGCTAATCAAAATGAAATGCCGTTTTAATCAAGGCCGCAGCACCATCAGCCGGTTGCCCAAAAAAGATTATTTTGGTATCAAAAGGTCCGATAAACAGGAAAAATTAATTCACACCCTGTAGAGCTGGTTTTGGTGAAAGAAAGCGAATATTTCTACATCAGGATATCTATTTATAAGTGATGGATACGTTTGAATGCCCAAGGCCAGCTGACTTTCTCTTACAACAAAAACGAAAATTTGGCGATAAGAATGAGCTTAATGTACAGGTCGAGGGCTGCATCCGCTTGCAACTAAAAGTCTCTAATTCAATAAAGACAGAGGAGCTTTCGTAGGCGGAAATTCCTTGAAGTCTAACAAAGTTTGTCAGTAAGATGACAAAGTAGGTAAATCTTTACCAGTCGCGTCATAAATTGAGGTAGTGCTTAGGTGGCATGTTGCTTCATTCAATTCGGACATTTTTGTCAACAGCAAACTTTCAACTAGAATACCTGCTCATAAATCAGTCATATGCTCTTGCCATTATGCAATTTTGTCATAAATGTCTAATTAACGGATTGTTGAAGTCTTCATGTTTGTCGAAAGCCATGACTCGCATTTAGCATTAAAAACCTCCCAGGGTTAAGTCCTAACCGCATGGAGGAAGCCCTATAATGGTGGTCTTTTTGACTTGCATAATGCTTAATTGAGATTCGTCATCCTGCTGAATTGCCTGACCTTGTCAATCCGATATCTGATTGGGTGGTTAACTAGTATGGCTTCTGTAGTGCTCTAATTTTGTTAAATTTCGACTAGAAAAATTTATCAATTATCTACTATTGTTTCAATCAAAAATATTCCACCATTGAACATTATCTTGTCACTTTCATGAAAAAAAAACAAATAAATTACCGTTAAAGCTGCTTACATTGAGCGCCGCAGGGGTGATTAGAAAAACTCGCATTGTACATTCGCTTTGGTTGCATCTCCAAAGCATTAATGGGTCAATTTACGCCACAAATTTCGGTTAGTTTGCTTAGTTCTGCGGCTGATTAGTTAAAATGCAGTTTGGTTGTTCACATAGCTTTGAGAGCACTTGATACTCATAGGGGCTCGTACACCCCACACATAAACGTGTCTGCGATTTCATTTTTTCCCGCAGATCGCCTGATTTTCCATCTAATTGATCTCATGTGCTTTAACACGTGGCTATTCCAAAACAGTTCTCAAGAACTCTGCTAGAATGCGTTCATTCTACAATAATACTTCCATCTGCATGGCCTTTGTCAACTTCATTGCCACTGCCATTCATTTTACAAATACCAAAGTCTCAACCATTTGTATCAAACGTAAGTAACAAGGCTACATCGTCCACAGGTCGAATTGAAAAGAAGAAGCCACAAAAGACTATGTTTTAGAGCAGAACGTGGCAACAGAAGACCTGAATCATTGAAGTATTGCTTTCTGTACTAATTGAATCGCCAAAACAGCCACGAAACCATGAAAACTGACTTGGCAAGAGACAACTTACTTTCTTTCGAGTTAAGGTTTACGACATTAATCCTGACGATGGACGAGATTCAAGCCTCTAATCTGTTAGAACAGCATTAGGCAATCATTTCTCCCCAATAGTTGACATGCTCATCTTGGGTTCCATCTTAAAGGGGTTTAGAATTGAAAATTTGGAGAAATAGCAGCCTCTGCAAAAATCAGATTTTCTCCTGAGAATGTGTTGCTTGGCATTCTGCAGTTAAAAAAGCGAGTAAATTTTGAGATTGCCCTCACCGACTGCGCGAATAGCGCTTCCACGGTCACATGGACTCGAGATTTCAGACCTGATTAGAAGTGACTCGGCTGTTAAACTAAATACCTACTGCATAATGCACTAAGCTGATCGCGTTTTGAGAATCACACGTATTAGAATGGCTTGCACATTTAACGGCCTGTATTTGAACTCAAGAAGTCACACACAAATCGATCTTCATCCGTTTAAGCAATGTATTAGGGTTGAACATCAGGGATAAATTCTTCATTCCACCGGCTGAAGAAATCCAGATTAAAGTGAAATTTGAGATCATTCTTAGTAGGCCTCACCTCTTAAGCCGTTTTGCTTATTTTGCATGATAATGCTTGATTTTCTGTTACGTGTAATACGCTTCATGGTCCTAGGTAAGGTCACTGAAATTGAAAAACATCTTGATTTTAGGTAGAAGATGGTTGAGTTGGACCATTCACTTGACCTATCAGAGCGACAAATTAAATCAATAACTAGGGTTTAGCAAGGATGCGGCCTTTATAATGATAGCCCGACATAAATACATTGATACAAGGCATTCTGAATACATAGGAGCAACAAAGATTGGGGCTTTGGAAGGACGAAATTTCATGCATCTGTGAACACTTAAAGTCTGGCTTTATATTTAAACCATATCTAATTAGAACATTAGATTAAGCATTATGAGCTGCAATATCTTAGAAGGTGACTACTTGTTCATATACACCAAATTAAAAAACAGGTGAGAAAGCTTTCACCCTTCTCCATTGCAACTCCGTTCCATTTTACAGTTTCTTTAGTGATCAATTCCTCTCCTTTATCAGTAGTAGAAGCGTTTGAGTTGGCAAAGGTGGCGTCTGGTATGAAGACGGCAGTTTCACGGGAGCGTTTAGCTGATCCCATTGATTTAATTGGTCCTTTGCGGTAAATGGTTGGTGTTTACGAAATTGCATCAACTGTATTTTAAGTAGATCACATGAAATGGAGTGGAGTGGTTCCCTCTAGGATCCATAAAATTTGAGTTTATTCGGTTGACTAACATTCCAGTTTTCTGTGGAGGATTGTCACGTTGTTTTGGCGACCAATGCTCCTGCAAACTATGACTGGCAATGCACTATCTGCCTTGGCATCGTTGTCCATTCAGAAAGAATTTTTGTCGATGGTACAAATTGACTGGGTAATTTGCAAAAAAATTAATCGCACGACAAAACTTATAAGCACTTTAATTCGATGGTTAAGCATGAAAAATCTAATCAGGAAATTTTGTGCAAAAAACACTAATTTTAGTCCACCGTGATAAGGTGAAACCTGGAATTATTTAAAATGAGGTGTATGTGAAAAATGAACGATTTCTGTCCATGTGCCCTTTTTGTAACACCAAAGGTTTTTTTATCCGCCACGTGAAGCAACACATACAATAGGTGTTGGAAGCTCTGCTATATTCTGTTATCTATAAAATTAGTCTTAAATAAATTTAAAAAATATTTGGTACCTTGAACATTATTACTTGGATGGAAATTTTGTCGTCTGCCTTGCACTCGAAAATGACGTTCGAAGTCTGACTTTGCATTTTTAGTTTTAGTGAGGTTAGCGGCTCTGTTCATTTGAGCCGAGAAGTGTGCTCGGTTGAATGGCCGGCGGATGATAAATAAGCTACCGAGGTGGTGACCAGACGTTTGCTCTAGTGATGCACTGGTAATGCTAGTGAAAATTACGACACAACTAAATGCCTGATTTATAATTTTTTGTCTAAACAAACAGTTCCTAATATATAATATGCGTCTTTCAATGGGTTTTTCATGCATGCGCAGGTGCTAAATTATGACCACCCACCAACACAGTGAAAATCGATATCCG